GGTTTGGTGAAAAATTTGTGCGTTTAGGCCAGGGTTCGTCTTCGTGTGGAAGGGGCCTTAGGGTTTTAGCGGCCTCTGACTGTTTGTTCTTTTCCCGCCTTGCATCAGCTCTGACCAACAGTTTTTATATTCTGACAAAAAGTGTCCCCAGAGCATGAAGCTGCCTCTGCCATGCTTACCCCCTGAGAGTGTTGCGTTCAAGCACATGGCTCGAGGAGTATGAATACGTTTGTATCTAACTGTGGTTTGAAAACATTCAAATATCTAACAGAAAAATACTGGACCCTGCGTACCAGGTTCAGGAATTTTACAGTTCTATAATTGCATACTGGGAATGTTATCTAGATGAACAGATATGACACATTCCCAATCATTTGGTTTTTGTTTTTTTTTTTAGCAACAAAGGTCTTTAAGTACACTGATGTTTCAGGCACAAAAAAAGTAAAATAGTCTGGGAACTTTAAGCACGTGAATGAGTGTGAGACAAATGTGTCTTCTAACGTATCATACCTTGTTACCAAGGCAGCGCCAAGCCCCATAGCTTAGAGGGCGGTCCATGGCCAAACCACAAGCAAATGACCTCTCTGCACAGCGCCTCGTCTGCTACCTGTGTTTCCGACGACGCATGATTTGCAGTGAAATACCTCTGCTTTGAATATATTTGACTAGTTTTGGATACATCATTCATGAAAAGCAGATTCAAACCATCTCTCACAAAACATCCACCTGCAATCTCCACTGGATCATGTTAAGAAGTGGCATAGAAAGAAGAGCGAAAATATACTACTGTTTGATTATTCAATCTGTCAATCTGAGATGTTAAACAAGTACGTGGTGTAATTTATCAATCTGAGTCTGACTAGATTGAGTCATTTCTGAAGCAATTCCTACATCGCTTTCAATAGTAGTTTTCTTTATGTTTCTTAGTCTTACAATCTATTTTCAGATCAGATTGAATGTGAGCGTCAGCTAAAGATTGTGAAACTATGAGTTATTAATAGAATCAGATATTTATGAAAGCATTTCTACTGACAAGCAATGTAAGAAATACATTTCCAGACATCACAACTCAACCAGTTAAGTTAAGCTTTTGAAGACCTGTTCAAACTTTCAAAAAAACCTTCTGATGAGTTAAAATAAAGGGGAGGAGAGTTTAAGAGTCCTTAAGGTCGCTGCTCCGACACTTATTCAAGTCTGCTGGCACAGCAGGCAACACAATGGGATTTTCCTTCCAAGCATCCTAACATGTCAATTACGCCTCGCTTGCTTTCATTCCAGCCATCCAGAAACCCAAGGGTGTCCAGATCACTCTGGGTCAGTTGTTAGTGTACTCAGCCATGAAAGGAAAGTCATGGCAGATAGGGACTCTCAGTGACAAAAAAGGCATAAAAAAAGGAAATTTGCAGGCAGGCAGGCAGGTGATATTGACAAGAATGACACACCAGTTTTCCCAAAACAGTCTCACTTTTGCCCAGATGATCAATCCAAGTGATACAGTTGGCTTGTTTGGGTTGAAACTTCGTGCTCCCTGATGAGTTATTAGATTCCCAGCCAGAAAAGGTGTCTGCCACTCTTAGGAGTATTAGAGCTGTTCATCGTCCCAGCTAGTCAGTCAGAGAGAAACATGACCGGAGGCGACGCATAATATCTTCACATTAATCTTTGAGTAAGAAAACTTCTACTGTTCTTTAAAAGGAGAAGACATTTTTCACACCTCGTCTAAGAAAATTATTCAAAGCTATTCAACCACAAAAATGCACTGAGAAATCAAACAAATAATAGCCATGCACAAGAAATAAAAAGTCATTTAAATAACAGATTCACATGATTAATTACGGCTCCTAAGATCCACCTGTGCTCTTATGGTATGAATTTATAGATTATTTTGAAATTTTCTCCTGTCTATGTCAAATATCTTCATTGTTTTACTTAAATTTAAACTCTATCTTTAATCATCTTATCGATTTTTGATAAATCATTCTTGTTTTAAGCACTTGGGTCATTTTTGTAGGAGCTTTATAAATGAAGTTGGCATGGCTAGGCTTTGCTAATAATGAAACTATTTAAGCTATCAAGATATCTACAAAAAACAAGTCTGTTTGCACACCACACCAAAACTCTTTAAATGCATAAAATCATTCTCAGAAGGTGACATTCTGTGCACAACCTGGGAGACCTAAGTGGATTAAATGTCACACCTTGAGAGGGTTGTATATATGCAACAGGACAAACAGAGATGAGCTAATCTAGACAGCAACCCAAGTTTTCCCTGACCTCTGATCAGCTGGTAAATGCAGCAAGAACACAAATGCAGTCTGATTCTTTACATTGTTTTGCATGTGTGCAGCAACATTACTCGTTCTCCTTGCCCTCCCCTTCTTTTTCAACCTCAAGCTCTTTTTTTTTTTTTTGCTGCCTCCCTCCCTCCTTTTCTCTGAAATTCTGAAAGCGAGCCCCAGGCAGGCAGGGCCACAGAGTGCTCTTTGTGAAAGGGGGAAAAAGGCCGCTCTGATCCAAGGGGGAAGTGGCTACTGTGGGGGCTGACCTCTGCATTGTGCGAGGGGGCCTGGTTCCCTGCCCCTGCTAAAATACACTCACACACACAGACAGATCCCTCCTAATGCCCTGAGCCTTTTGTGGTGAAGGGTCAAGTACACATAGGAGCACACCCTCCTCACACACACACACACACACACACACACATCATTCACACACATACCCTGCAGGAAGCAGAGGACAATAGGTCCTGGGCTCTGCAGCGTTCTATGTTTCCTTACAAAGCCCTCGTGTGTTCCTGAAGAAGACACTGACTGATTAGCGAGAGGAGATGGTGGTCTGGGCTGGTTGTGAGGAAGGAAGGCATCAAAATGAAAAAGTGAGATGAGAAGGGATGAATGAAGAAGGAAGTGGCAGGATGGCTGTTTTTGACAGCTGCATGTTGACAGGCGCTCGGACAGTTTCTTTAATGGAGGGTAAAATGACAGATAGAGGCAGACCATTCATCTGTTCTCAGAGAAGAAAAAAAAAACATACTGCAGATAAAAACAGATGTTTCATCTCCGACTCGTCTATAACAACACGTATTCGAGCAACGGCGTTTCCTACCTGTCGGCCGTCTGCCCTCCACTGGCCGTTGCTGGTCTTTGTGGGGGCAATGGTGACTACGGGAGGGTTGGTCGGCACACTGTGGCCCCTGCTTTGACCCAAGAGGGGCCCTAATGAGCCCCGCTTAGGGGTAGCAACCGGCGAGGGGTGGCTGGCGCCTGGTGAAGGCACCGGAGACGATTCACCGCTGAGGGCAGAGACTGGGAGGCAAGGAGAAAATCAAATCATTTCAGAATAAAACTGAATTAATCTTTATGAGTGAGATGACACGTGGGTCCAACATGAAGGAGAAGTGGGAAGGAAGAAAAGCCGTAAAAGATGACAGGAATTTCTTGAAAAAGGCTGGGGTGTAATGTTGTGAAGGGAGGTGTTAAATATGATAAAGAGAGAGTGTAACAGTAACTAGCATTACTCTGTTCCTGTAACACCATGGACAGAGGGGGAGGGAGATGGAGGAGGGAGAGGAAGTACAGCAATGACTTCCTATAATTGACTGTAATTAGATTGTCATAATTAGGAGATTAATGGAAAGCAATGAAGGAAAAGACAGAAAGAGAGAGGTCAGGGTAGGTCAGTTCTTATTCAACACCTTCATTAGGACATGAGTGAACTAAGTGAGCACAGAAACACAAGCGATAAAGTAATTGACATTATCAGACATTATCACCAAACTCAACAACTTGATCATGTCATTAAGGAAATTCAAAACAAAGTCATAGAAAGAACTAAATGTTTGAAAAGTTATTTAAAATAAAGTATTAACTATGATATTTTGAGAATATTGGTGGTTAATCCACTCTAAAAGAGCAGGAGAGAGAGCGAGACTTTCAGTGAATAACAGGAAGGCTGGATGTGTTATACCAAATTGGGTCTTTATACTTAAACTGAAATATAGAATGCTAAAGGCTATGAAATCTAAACTTATTATTATCATTATTATTTTTTTGTCTTTATATATTGAAAATTTTTAAAAACACATATAGCAAAAATATTTACACAGTTTCTGATCAAATAACTGACTTAATATAATAACACATTCTGAATCCCGTTAGTTTATTTTTCTATAGTTCTTAAATAGGCAAATTAGCCAAGTTAAACCACGCATATAAAATTAGTGCAACTTCATTCAAGCTTAACTGCCAGAATCAAACTCAACCTGTGGTCCTTACACTTCTGGCCCATCTCAGATTTATTTAGGCAACCAGAAAACCTCTTACCTCTAGGATCTTCGGCCTGCTTGGCCAGTTTACGTAGAGCGGCAGCAAATCCGGAGTTTGCAGACTGGACAGCAGTGTTCCCATTGGTTAGAGGACTGAGGGGACTGACTGTGGCTGTGGTGCGAGTTGCTGTGGAGATCATTCCTAATGATGGTGATTTATTGGACTCATGGTTCATACCTGAGGGAAAAAAAAGAGAAGGAGCTTTAATACATTGTGAACCACAGAAAACTGTAGTCAGCAAAGACACAGGATCCCTCTGTCAGCTTGGGACTAGATTCCTAGGATCTTTGTTATAAAAAGAAAATCTTTTTTTAATCAGAAAAACAAACTAAATGACTAAAGTGAAGGTGACAAATATGTAGGAGTTTGTGTTTCAATGTCTGGTCATGAGTGCAGCTCCAGTATAGATAGAGTGGAGAGAGTAGAGCTGTGTCAAATAGAGCGCTGACCCTAATAGCAAATCACACACATGAGCGCACACATGTCCATTTCCTCAAGGGAGCCAGCCGACACATCTTAGGAACCTACACACGCACGCCTTATTATGAAGGGATCTGTTTTTACACCCTGACACACAGACGCACCTCCGCAGACATAAAATCATAACTAATATGACATCAATCAAGTGGACAGTGGGGGGCGGTGAGGGGCCAACATGGCTGGAGCAAACCTTGTCTTCTTCATCTATACCCACACTGACCCACTCATGTTAATTACAGCTGGAACCCCCCCAGTAATACCATCAACACCGCCCCTCTGCCGGCTTCCACCATGACCTCATTACAAACACACAAACACCTTTAAAGGACACACACACACACACACACACACACATGAAAAAAAAAAACCACAAGATGAACAAACAAAGAGCAAAAGCAGCAAACGCACTCATGAAATATTCATATGAGCACACTGAACATGATTATTGAGTGCTCTGCTCCATTCCACTGACAATGTTGGTGAGCCTGGAGGACAGGCAGGTGTCAGGGCCTCAGAGTATCAGAGACCTTCATATTTCCTGACGCCTGGATGCATCCTGGTCTCTACCTTTTGACACGCAGAGCAAATGATCCACAGAAAACAAATAAATGGAGGAAGAGCTGAATGCCTGAGCACCGAGGACATAAAGCGGAGACGAAACCAGAGATTTTAGCTAATTAATCTGGAAATACTTTGTTGGTGATGTATGCTTTCATGTCACTTAACTTAAATGATCTCACTCTGTAATCTATGTGTCTCCTCTAAGGGTAATGACATGTTAAAAAGAAAAGAGGAAGAGGCAAAGAGAGTGAAAGCTCAGATCCTGATAAGCTGAGTGTGTGTGTGTGTGCATCTCTGTCTCTGCTGAGCCCAGCAGTCAAGGGAGAGATGATAAGACACTTTCTATCGACTCCTTCTCCCTCCCTCCTCTTCTCTTCTCCCCACACTCTCACTCTTTTCCTCCTTTGTCTCCTCTCCTCTTCTTTCGTGTTTATCTCAGCATACTTCAGCTTGTTTAACAAAAGCCAGCGCTCATGATCTCCATCCTGCTCCTATTTAAAACACCCTTTTCCTCAGAGACTGCTCCCTCTGATGTTCCAGTCATTCCCCCCCAGCACTTGCACTAAAAGTGTGCACATGCACATAATTCAGACATGCAAACACTCACCACTGCCTGCCGCTCACTGATCTCCTCCTGCTTGTCGTCTTTCTGCTCCTGTGTGAGACTCTTTTACTCTCCCCCCCTTCTCAGCCTTGCAGCTGCTACGTGGTCACGTGACCTCTTTTCTATCTAACCTCTCCTCCTCCTCCTCCTCCTCCTCCTCCTGCCCTCCCTCCCTCTCAATCTCTCACCCCATCCACTCCATCCAACCTCAAACTCCATGCTTTTCTGACACTTCACCTATCTTTCCATTTTCTGCTCTCAAAGTGATGTTTATGCTTTCTTTCCTCCTTCTTTCAGCCTTTGACTCTCACTTCAAGAGGGGGAAGAGTGGCGCCAGCACTGATGGTGGTTTTTTTTGCAGGGGGGGTGGCTGAGTAGGAGGAAGAGGTGGAGGTTGGGGGTGATGACGGAGACGGAGGGTGTGTGATCTGAGCTGTGTGTGTGTGGCAGTTTTAACCCTCCATCTATCACTCTGTCTCTATGCTTTAGTCAGCTATCTGCCTTGGGACTCCAGAGGGGGGGCACTTAGGTGGGAATCTGGGGTGGGCATATAGGGGGTTTACAGAAACCTTTCACCCCTCACCTCTGACCACTGACCCCCTCAGGAGGAGAGAAACGGAGAGGAGGGAGGTGAAAGCTTAAGTGCAAATTAAGATGTTTACTGGAATCTTCTTTGAAATGATGGGTCCTATGACTTTTTTTTTTTTCCTAAAATCACTTTAAAATAACTGTTTTTGTTTGTTTTTTCATAAACCGGTGTGGTTCCATCATCACGTAATTAAAACAGAAAAACTGAAAAACAGTAGAATTTAACTGTTATCTCAAAAGGATTTTTGAATCTAAATAGGAAATAGTTATGATATAAAGACAAATGTATGTTTTATAAGTAAGAAACAAATTTAGTGTTTCATGTTAATTAACAATTATTTTGTTTTTTGTTGGATAAAAAGATGATAAATGTAGGGTGGAGCTTTTTTTTGTTTGTTTGTTTATGAAAATATTTCTAAACTCGCAATAGCTGCGTAGCCAGAACATTTTTAAGGGTGGCTCAAAACTGATAAAATAAACCAATTCAGCAAATAAACCAATTCAGGGTCAATCTACATTAATTAAGGTGTACCAAAAGGATAAAAAACGAGTAAAACATTTGTATTTTCCAATGACAGGCTAGATTCTCATAAAGCCCATGCTATAAGATTATACACATATCTTTACATCTATACTGCCTAAACTGACTTCCTATGGTTCTGCATATTATACTATATTAAACATCCATTTTGTGGTTCTTTAATTACAAAGAAGACTCCTAAAGTACCTGCAGACATGTAACTTTCCCTTCTTCACAATTATACACAGAAGCTATTTCTAAAAAAAGAGCATTAACTTTGTTTTTGTCTTCTTTAATGTTATTATATTGATGTGAAAAATTAAGGTTTATTCTAATAGTTTTTGCTAACAGTGGCAATACAAGGTAACAACAACAACACGATACAATTGGGGGCAAAGGAAAAATACGACCTCCAAGTAGGAGAAGCATGCACTATTGAGCAGTAAATACTAAGAAAACACTTTGTTTGACATGGTTACATATTTATTTTTTTAAAAACTGCAATTTTAAGGTCAAAGGAGTCAAGACTTAGAAACCAAGGCCTTAAAGATAAAGTTAAAGTTTGATGTTAGAGATAAAAGGGCTCCACCAGGACCATTTATTCACAGAATTCAACATTTGGCATAAATGTGTTTTTTCTGCAATATAAAGTCGATAACGCCTTTTCTAGGACTTTAAAGACTTTTTATGCATTTCAGAGATTAAAATATATGATTTGGAACCTTTTTCCCCGATACATAGTTACAGTTACAACATAAACACAAAAAAAAATGCACATCTTCAGTAAGGGAAAGATTGATCAGTGACTAGACTCTATAAAGCTGATAAAAATACATACTGATACTCGCTTGTCTTACTATGATTATTTAACCTAGCCACTATATGAGCTTAGCAGTGATGAAATTCCCTCTGGTTAGGGTGGCTATGATGTGACTCTGTCATACATGTTAAAACTTATAAGTCAAAATAATTGAAACGTTATCAACACAGGAAATAAGAGATGGGCCATTAGTCTCCATGTGTCTTGTTATCTAAACAGTAAAGAGACCAAAGCTCATAACTTTAAGCTCTTCAGTCAACCACAACGTTAAACCACTAGCAGGTAAAGGAAGTAAAACTGATCTATTTACAAAAAAATGACATTTTTAGCAAGTTTAGACTAAATTCTTTTCACACACGCACTTGCACCTTGTGAAGTTTGTCCTGAATCCAGGTGCTTCTATGAAATCTGAAAATGAAAAAGTCTTTTTCACAGTTACAGTATCTGTGTCATTGGTTTCCTGGTGCACAGCTGCTTAGCAGAAGGGAAGCATCAAGGGTTTGGTTTTGGTTGCTCCTTTCAAATGAAACTTTAGCACCTAATCATGAAACTCATTTAAACTAAATCAAAAACTACAAAGTAGTTGGCTTGGATTATTTTATATGACAGGCCACTGCAAAACAGTATATAATCTGTGCAAAAATAAAATAAAAGTTTCCAAATAAAAATCTGAAGTGTGCAACATGCATTTCTATTCAGCCCTCTTTAAACTTTAAGCAGCACAACTTTTTAACCTTCAGAAGTCGTTAAATTATCTCAAGGTTTATTAAAGAACATTAACCCACAAACAGCAACATAAGGTGCAATGAAGCTGCCAGGCAGGTCAGGGATAGAGTTTTGAAGTCATTTGAAAAACCAGGGTGAGCTAATAAAATAATAATAGGAAGAATTAATGTGTGCTGTTTACCACAAGCCATGTGGAGGACATGGAGAATATAGTAAACATGTGAAAAAAGAGGCTCAATGGAAAAAAATGGTGATGCATGATATACACAGCAGAATTATAGCGATGCTTTTCTTTATGAGAAACCGTAAAGCCAATGAAAGTTAAGGGGAAGATGGCTAAAGCAAAGTGCAGAAAGATCATGACAGAAAAACTTTAGATGCTGCAAAAGTATTAAACCAGAAGCTTGAAAACCAATGTTCACAGAAGCCCTTCTTTGAGATGTTCTACAATCAGTCAAAATTTCAGCTCCTCGTGGTGCAAAGCTGGTAAAGACATACCACACCTTAGACGAATAGTAACTGTAACTGCAGCAAAATGTGGTTCCAACAAATATCAACTAACTGCTCTGATGAGTTATACAGAATCTCAACAAGATGGAATGAAGTTTTTTGTTTATATGTGATGAAATGAAATTCAAGGAATGTGAATTATTGCTAATGTACCAATTGCTGGCTGTATCCTCTATTTTCTCTGGACTGTTTACCCATAATCCAAGAGAAAACGAAACCTCTGGTGTTGCTAAACTTTACCCTAGAAGCTCCACAAATGAGCAAATCTTTCCTCACCTTTGCCAAAATGGAAATGGCATCCTGGTGGGGCTCTATGCATCCACAAACACACCCGCCTACGCCATCGAATTCAGCTCGGCATGATGTAA